AGAGAGAGAGAGAGAGAGGAGAAAAGGAAGAGAAGGAGACAGAGAGAGAGAGAGAGAGTACGAGGGAAAGAAGGTAGAGATCCTCGGTTGTTCTCCTCCATTCCGCTTAACGCGGCCGTAACTTATCGCTCGTAGACGCACGGTATTTCTCTCCGGCTCTTTGAAAGCATTTTCTCATTAAAAAATTAAGGTTCGAGGGGTCGAGAAGGGTGGCAGCGGTCGGGGAACCGAGTGGGAGGGTGTCGGGGGTGGGTGAAGGTCTCGCGGGTTCTCGCGCGGGGCGACAGCCGCCGGAGGAGAGAGCGGTTTGCGGCGGGGGTGGTTGGCGGTGGGTCGGTAAGTGCTCTGCGGCTCCCAGATGCGCCCAATATTATGTTTAATGATATTAACTTCTTACTTAATGGTCCGCGGTTCGATTCGAGGTGCGAAAAGGCGCCCTCGGTCCGTGCGGCCTGCCTCGATCTGAAAAAAAGAACTATACCCAGGAGAATAATTTCCAAGACAAAGATAGGAACATCGGGGCTCGGAGCCGAGGGTTTGCGAAGAATACCTAATCGCCCGGGGAACACCAATTTCCAATTACGTTGCGCAACTCTTGGAAAATAAATTCGTCTCTCTCTTCGTCTAATCCTCGGAAGTAGCTTCTTTCAAAAATTCGTTACTCCTTCCTGAAGATACCGAGCCGCTGTCTTTAACATGTTCGCTATCAGCGTCACAAATATGTCGACTTTCATTGAGAGGTCATACACATGTGATGGCAGTCGAATTTTTGTTTTCTTTGAATAAAAACAAACAGAATTATCTGCCTGGCGTCACGAATCTGTGTTTCACACATTAAAAAATTAGATTTACATTTACTCATTCATTAAATTTTAATACTGTCTGAATAAAAATCTGCAGTACATTTTGTAGAAATTCGAAATATAAGTAATAGGTTGTGCTTCTCTTTCCCGCGGCGGGATAGCGAACATATTAAGGAGTCTTAGATTTCAGTTCGATTTATTACAATTTGTCTTAGATTTCAGTTTTCTTACAGTCTTAGATTTCAGTTGTCTTAGATTTTCAGATTTATTACAACGTGTGTCGTAAATAGAAAGACAAACAGAATAGACTTGTTTCTTAATATATTCTTAATATATTGCATGAGGTAACATCATTCGATTATCGTCAGTCATGGTATTCGGACGCGAATCTTAACGATGAGTCTCACGAGCTACTGCACAACTGAACTCACAAGGTCATGAATAAAAGCTTCGCGATGCAGAGGCATAAAGGTTGACTGTTATAGCCTGGCTCTCGTAAAATCAAACATTCGAGGAAACCGAGAAAAAGAAAGTAAAAAAGGGATAACCGGGAGACTTGTGAGCAGGTTCGCGAAACAAGTTGCTTTTAAATCGACAATGTAATACGAGAAACTCGCGGTTCTTCGCTATCACGCGAGGGAATGTCATGCATCGCGAGGGAAATAAAAAGTCCAGGGAAGGCCGGTTTTACGCGAGAAGGCGCGATCTCCCGAGGTATGCGCAATAGCTCTGCATGGAAAGAAGAAAAAGAAGAAGAAAAAACGAATTGATTAAACGGCGATAATCGGATATAATCTGTGACCGACAGAGAGACCGGTACTTATCTTCCTACGCGATTGGCTCGAACCGAGACTAGAATAATTATTTAATTAATGGCCAGCACACAAGCCGAGTCCACCTCCGCTCTGGCCGATTCGTCGCCACTCGTCGGAATCGATACTGAAGCTTTTACCCATCTGTTTTGCTGCTTGCAGGCTCCGCGAGGAAAGAGGAGATGCTGAGAGAGCACTCGCGTTGGACCAAAAACCCAGGGATCTGAGCTCGCACAATGGTAAGATAAATACGCGTATGCTCGTTTATCGTAATTATAGTAATCGGCCGATAATACACAGCGAATAACGCCGAGTCGTATTATAGGTCGAGCACCATTACGCGGACGATGAATCCTTCTTCTCCTGGCGACCGGCGATTTCCCGTGATTCGAGGCCGTCGCGGTCGATCGCCGTTTTTTCGCTGATCCTTCGCCGGTGGAGGAGGATGCTCTTGTACTTTCTTTCTGAACAAACAACAAATTTTGATATGTTCTAACGTGCGTTCAAAATTCTTCGAATCGGATATAAAGCTTAATCTTCGTTCGAACATTTTTATATAATGAGGGTACAAACTGGATTTTAAACGCGTGAAAAAGAGAGCTGGCCCGCGAGGTCACGTTGAAGGAAGACCACGACAAGTTAACAGAGCATGTCCGGACCGCGAACCAGTCCCTTTCTCGATTTCTTTATTTCTCGTAGCTAGCCCGTCCGAGCGTTAGGCGGCCTGGAGAGATTAAGTCCGATATCAGGTTACCGGGCACCGCGCGGCTCCGTCTTTCTTCTGATTCTCCGTAATATTTTAATCCGTTCGATCGAACCTTTTATTCTGGTGGCGGGCGACCGGCGGGCGACAAACTGGACGTTCGATGTTCGAATCCGATCGTGTTGGAGCCGCGGGCCCCACGGAACCTCGTGTGGCCCTCGTCTCTCCGAGGATTTCATCGTGGACGTCGGGACGGTGCTTAATCGACCGCGGTCTACCGGTGATCTTCGCCTCGCGTTCGTTCGATCGTCGACGAATTACGTTTGATTGTTCGCTGCGATCGAACCACGAACTAGCCTCGAGCGATGCGTCATTCCGCTCGGCGTCGTTGGCCAAACAGTATCTATCCACGTCAGGATTAAAATGCCGGGATATCAAATACGAAGGGAGCGGATCAACCGTGGAAATTGGACGGTCTGTTCCTTCTCGTATAAACGGAGATGCGCACGGGAGCAAATAATATCCATCAATCGTTGTCGATCGAGCCACTCTATTCTTCGGTGAATCGTAGAAGCGCGTGCAAGATCGTTATCGGATGCGTTTCACACGGACGAGAGTTTCATGAAACGATCGTGTTGACAGGTTCCTCGAACGGTCACAGTCCCGTGCTGAACTTGTCGAAGACGGCGGGAAGCGGAAGCGTAGGCGAGCACTCCGGAAGCGAGGCAGAGGCGTCGCATCGTTCGCAAGACGACGAGGAGGAAGACGACAATCTGTCCGAGGACCTGGACGACGACAACGAGAAGGACGAAGGTGAGAGAGCGTGGCGTGGCCCCAGTCCACTTGTGGAAAATTGCCGCGCGACCGGCCGATCTCCTAAGCGTCGCGTCGATCGATACGTCGACTGGGACGATCAGTCGATCAATTAAAGCCAGGTAGAGCGTGACGGTGGATTTGACGTGTGCCGAAAGTCGAAACGATGTTCCGTCCGTTCTGCGCGGCACGCATACGTAAAATAATTATATCGAATGGACCGGACAGACCGCGTTTAAAGATGAGTTCTCCGGGACGACTGGTAGGTCAGACCCTCTCATCGATCATCTCGGGCCCGCCGCGGAACGACGTTCTCTGGGATTCGTCTTCCATCCGGCGCGTCTTCTTCCCCCGAACGAACCGAGGTCTCACCTCAGCGGTTGTCAAAACTTGTCAGTCGAGCTTGAACGCTCGAAACTTTCGCCGAGAGACGTTCGACATTCTGCGCGGTGCATGCGCCCTGGCTGTCATCCTTGTTTCTTTCCTTCGTTCCTTGCTTTTCACCCTTTTCATTTCATTATGCATTCGCGTCGAATTGAATTGCATTAGTGAGATTTCTGTTTCTTCAACAGATAAGTGCGAATTCGTTGCAAATCATTTTCGAGGAAATAGACGACAAACAACGAAATTCTACTAGATGTTATTCACGATCTGTGGTTCAAAAGTTTATCGAGGCGATGTCAAAGGTAGAAAGAAATTCGTTTCTGTGAATGAAATATAAGTATGTTTCTTTGTGAGTTGTCGAGATGCGTTGATGTAAACGAGATTCGCGCAAAACGATCGTCGGCACGGAGGGAGCACCACTGGCAGAGGGGTCCGTTGGTCGTTAGAATCGCATCTTCGGTATTTAGTTTCATTTTAATAATGAAAGATGGGTCTAGATAAAAATCTCGGACCATGGCCCATGGTGCCATCTCGGCTGTCCTGGCGCTTCGATGCACTGAAGCGTCATAATCGCGGTGATTTCTAATCGATTTGCCGATTGTCCGCGCACCGCGCGTTAATTGGATATTCCAATTAGAGCCTGCGAGTTTTCGCCTCGGTTGACGAGAACGTTAAGGACGTCTTTCTTCCTACCACGTTTCTACTTCGTATCTTGTATCTCGTATAAAAATGAATGAACGAAGGAAAAAAGGAAATCGCAGAATTTTAGGGGAATATGAAATTGACGAAGCACACTATATATAACGATCAGTATACTGCTACTGACATGTGATTGTCAACGCAGTGATTGATGGCTTCACGTATAACTTTTAGCGGTTGATGACTGTCGAAAAATATAAAAAACATATGTGTTTGTTTATATTCATTGTTCTTTATGGATTTATAATTACTAATTATTTATTTATTTATTTATTTCACATATAAGAGAAAACCTTTTGAATGAACTCAAAAGTGTGAATTCGAAAGTGTAAAATAACTAGTAATTAATAACTAATTGTTTAGGTATTAAAGTATTAAGAGATTAGTATAAAATAATATCTAAATATCTGATATATTTAATATCGAAATGTCTAATATAAAAAAAAAAGCGTACTTATAATGGGCACAGTAAAATGACACGTTACTAAGCGACAGATCTTTATGTTTGGATAAATTGCAAAACCATAAATGTGTTGGATAAATTGGAAAAAACATTCAATTTGTCAGAAAAATTATTGGCACTGTGTATATGTATGTAATTGTTAAACCAGTATGATTATACTACAAGAAATTAGCAATGACGATAGAAGAAAAAAGAAGTTGATTTAATTTACGTTAGTACGAAGAAAATTCTGATGATACATCGTTTTTGCGTGTCCCGAGTTGTAATTATTTTTTTATATACAAAGAGAATATATCAGATTTCATAAATTTTTAATAGATCTTGTTTATGGTGTTAAAAGCGAAACTAACGAAAAAAAGTAACAGTAAATGGCACTCGAGTAGATTAGGAGTGAGAAGGAGAAGAGGGGACGGGGGTAAGGATTGCAGAGTAGAATTAGCGGGCCTCTAAATTTCGGGAAAGACACGAGTTAGACGTATAAATTCTGGTGGTCGTGTACCGGAGAGGGAAGAAATTCGTGTCTCGCAGCGTGTCGTATACATGGGCTACATCCTACCTATGGTGCTCGCGGTGATCGAAGTAGAACCCCATCGAACGCCCGTGGGAGTGTACACGCCCGTGGAATGCAGTTCTGATTTAATGAGACGCGCCGCTATCTCGCTCTTGTTCCCGGAATCCGATCCACTGCGATTTGTTCGTTTCTTCGTAGCTAACTTCCTGGAGATTTCGTCCGATTCGTTTTAACTCCATGGCCGGGAGTGTCTCGCTAAGCGGGCCCGCGAGCCTCGCGAAATTTCTCGTTGTCGCGTTTTGCGAATTCGATGGGAAATACTTTGCCCCTTGGCCTCCAATGCAGATTGTTGTAATGGGTTTCGAGCGGAGAACGAAACGGCGATGAGACGGCCGTCGAGAAGAAATCGAGAGGAAAAAGGGTAAAGAGAGAAAGAAAAAGAAGAAAAAGAAAGGAGGGAAGAGAGAGTGAGGCGACGAGAAGGAGAAACAGAAGAGTGGAAAGGTTTGTGCTATCAAAAGGTGCCGGCGGATCGGCACCGAAGGCAGCCGCGCGAGCATTAAATCGGCCAATGGCAATAAGTAACCGAATGCCGTGGCGTTGTAGGTGCGCGCTGATAATTAAAAGACGATACAATAAAGCACGTATCATTGGCCATAAAGCAGCCGGGGCTAAAGCCCACGGTGTGGGCTGTAGGAGCGCACGGACCGGTCACTTAAGCTCCGTAGAACCCACGCAGACGTCTTGTCTCGCCACTCTCCGGACCTCTTTGGCAATAACCATAAGGCATCCTTTATTCCGGCGATTGCCGATCTCCGGATCCTTCCACGCTGGCCAGAGCCACGCTTCCTTTCCTCCCAACGACGAAAACCATGCTTCCAGGCTAATCGTCGATAGAGAGAGAATAACGAGGCTACTCCTGCCTCTTAAGTCCGAGGACGACAACGAATCGCGACCTCGAGTAGAAAGCAGAAAAAGAGTAGTAGAAATGGGGAAGAACGTGTTCGATCGGACAGATGCGTCCTTCGTGGAATCTCGAGGGTTTTCCATCGAAATTCCCTACCCGCGGCGCGATAACGGATAAATCGCGCGGCTGGAAACAAACGACAATTCGGTGTGCTCGTCCTGGTTCTCCCCACGGTGCCACGCACACGGGCCGACTAATCGCTCGACCGAGTGCCGTTTTAATTCGCGAATTTAATTCGTCCGCGGTGACGTTAAATCAGAGACGTGGCGAAGGGTAACAAGTAGTCGTCGCGGGATTACGACTTTGAAACACGCACGCGTTGTAAGTCTCCTTCGAGAGAGCGGCCCGCGCGAGACCTCCCTCGAACGTTGTTCCACGATCCTTCGGTGAAATTTATCGGCGACGCGACTCCGATACGCGCACTCACGCCAGACAAAAAGTCACAAAGAGACGGGCTAATAGGCGAGTTCTCGTTGCCGTTCGTTCGCTTGTCTGATTATTACATGCGTATTCCCCGTACGCTGATCATGTCTCTACGCTACGTTCTTCACGCAGCGAATCGGCTCGTGCATGATCGCGGTCGACTTAATTGCTTAGCACGTCGAGTGCCGAGATAGTTTTAAGTGAACTATTCCAAAATGCCGCGTGTACCAGAAATGATACACGGTGTAGAGTATCATTTCTAGGAAATATGTAAAAATTTTATATTTTTTAGAGCTTGAAATGAATAAATGTTGAAACATACTATATAACAAAATATATTATAAATATACTATACAACAAAAAAAAAAAAGAATAACTTCATTATATTATATCGTATATTAAAAATATACAAAAATAACGAGAAAATTAAAGCATAAAGCAGAAATTTCATTCAGCGTGCAAATTTGGTACACGAGACACTCAACGTGTGGAAAGCCGATCATTGGCTCGCGTTGTTCGAACGAAGTTGGACTTGTAGAACGTGCTATAAAAAGTACTTATTGATACACATATTCTTATTTTCCAAAGTTTTCTTGTCAAGTTTTACATTTTATTTTCATAGTATCAAATTTTTCCAGTCACGTGAGTGAAATGTATGAAACAAAGTTGAACAAAATGTAATCTGATTAATGGTTAACGATTATAATTAACGGGGAATTAGAATATTAATTATGATTATCAAAATAATTACTAATCGCTGACTAATGAATAAGGAAAGTAATCAAGATCATTAATCACAAAATGATTACATTTTGATTATGATTGTATTAGTAGGTTATTTCTATCAATAATACTGTAAAAATTATATACTTATTAATTGCATTATTTTACAATGTACATAACTACAACTTTATCAGGATGCATTCAAAACATTTTCTATCAATTGAGAGTCTTATCTATTAGTCGCATAATCTTCCGTATGACTTGAACATGAACTTTAACGATAAACTTGTCGAACGACAGAAAATTTTCAGATTCTTTATTATGATACGTACTCATTCTTATATCGAAAATATATCGGAGATATATTATAAGCTTTAACAAATTATCTAAATTCAATAATACAAATATTATTGTATTATGCAGCAAAGAATACGCGTATTCTCTTTAGTCTTGATCTACTAGTGGGACTATTCAAACTGCAATTAACAATGACATTTAGTTGTATGGCACAACTCAAGGTAATTACACGTTTGTGTAACATGTTACAACAATATAAAGAAATAATGCATTACAAATTCTAATAAAATATAAATTAATCATTTAATGATTTAAAAATCATTGATTAACGATTACAAATTACAAAAATTAATCAAGATTAGTGATTTATTTTAATAATGATTAAGTGTGTAACGGTTACCACGATTACTATTTAGTTGATTACAGACATGATTTTAAAGTAATTGATTACAGACATGATTTCAAAGTAATTGATTACTGGCCAACTCCGGTATAAAATTTAAGTATTATGGCATATTTTTTATGTACATTGTACATAAATACATGAGACAACGTGGAGATTTGGTTTCATCCGAGATTTTATTTTTATAACATTAATATTCTTTACGTGTTTTTTTATTATTCATTAATCTGTCTTCAACTGAAATTTGATTCAATTATTTAGTCCTTTTACTATAAAGAACACGTTAACGTGATAGTTTCTTATCGTATAAACTTTCCTATATGTGTAACGTGTCAGAACTATGAGTATATTCTATTAATTGTACATATTCTTAGAAAAAGGATAATGTTTGATGTTTTATTTATTTTTAAAATTCTTGACAATCTTGTTGAATGTTTCAAAATATTATTTTATTTAAATTGCACATGTTAAATTTATGAATCAGATATCACGCAATTTTCTTCATTAAAACGCACTTTATAAGCAATATAGTTGTGTCATTTTTGTATCAATTTAAATTTCTTCTCAAAATCCATCTTCATAAATTTAATTAACTATACAGTTAATTAAACAGTTAATTTAATAAGTAGAGAGTCAATAACGTCACATAAAGATGTTGCTAATAATAAAATAAATAACTTAAAATATCTAATAATAATAAAATCTTCGAAATTAAAATGCAATTGGTAACAGACAATGAGCATTTAGTAAAGAAGTCCTACATGAATCGATCAAAGGATGAACAGTTATTCGATCGAATCGAGAAATCCTTCACGTGTATGGATGATTTTTCCAGATCTGTCAGACGTGCCAGAGAACCTGCCGCTGCCTGCGCCGGGATCGGAGAGTCCTCAGGCCCTGAACTACTCGCAGATCGCCTCCGCGGCGGTGGCAGTTTCACAGGGAGGCCAGGATCCCTCGGTCTCGAGTACGGAGACCCTGCTCAGGAATATCCAGGGACTGCTCAAGGTCGCGGCCGACAACGCGAGGCAGCAGGAGAGGCAAATCAACTATGAGAAAGGTCAGTGGCATGACTTTCTTAACACGTCCCTAACCGAGGCTGTTCTTCACAGTTTCATTATCTGCCAGCTCTCGCCAATTCGCATTAACCCTAGATCGTTAAACTATATTCAACAGGCTGTAGCGACCCTTGGTGTTATTATAGAAATGTGTTATTTCCGGTTTATTGGTAGAATCATTAATGTTCGCTTGAACACTGTTTTGTTGCTCTCCGGTTTATAAGTTACAAGAGTGTTAACATCGGACATGTTCCAATAAAACATGGATGTACCAACTTTGTGATTCTTCGAGTCTTTCAGCACTACAATGAAATCTTATTTTTATTGTTTATAGTACCAATAACGGAAAGATTATAAGATGGCTTAGCTAATTCGGTGGCCAGAGGAACAGTCTTCCTAGAATTAGGAAAAATTAGAATCAGTTTTCTGTTGTCACTATCCTGCCTAAGCCATGTGTTGGCCTTAAAATATTATGCGAGAAGTTTGTCGTCGTTGTAACTCTCTTTATTTAACCTTATCTATGGTATCATACTATACTAAATATTATTAGCATTTTTATCCCATATTTGTTGGATTAATTGGGAATATACATCCTCGGATGCCATTAGCATAAACAGATACGATCGTCATTTTGACGAGAGATTAGAGATTAATCTAGAGTTAAGGAGCACTAATCTCCATTGATTTTCCCAAGATTTTCCTCTCTCTCCATTTGCTTTCCTTTTTGGTTAGCTCTTCCACTGACAGTCTTCGTTCGACATTCAACGGTGACTGCACGGTATTGATCGTGACATTTGGCAATGAAATTTGCCGAATCGACTTCGCGATATCGACGACTAATTTCAGGGTATGATGCGTTACTTCTCGCGAGCCATTAAAATTTAAGGATCCACAGAAAGAGTAGCAATTTCGGTGCCGTGCCGTTCGAGTGCTGTAATTTCGCCTAGTTCTGTCCCAAGTATGTCGTTACCGTTTGATTCTCGGTACCATCTTCGACCGGAACCTGTCATTTAGAGATAATTCCGGTTTTCCGAGATTTTTATTAAAAATCTCCTTGCTGAGAATTCAGTCACCGTGCAGGCTACATCTGCTCAAAAAAAAAAAAAAAAAAAAAAAGGAAAAAGAAAATCTTCAATCTCCGCAAAAAATGGTCGAGTGGAAAATAAGGCCAGCAAAAATCAACCCGCGTGAAGGAAACTACTCGTTGAAATATTGTCGTTGTAACCGTGGTGCATAAGCGACACGTGTCTTAAGTAGGCATTGGACTGAAATAAACGCGATTAATAAAACCTCGCGGACCATGGCATCCTGCCTTCGTTCTCATTAAGAGAGTGATAGATCGGCTCGCTGTTATTATTAGCGAGTGACATACAGCGTTTCGAAACTTAGAGACATCCGGGCAAGACGAAGACCGAGAGTCGTTTAAGTCGCTCGCATATGACGTTCCTCGCGTTTGGCGATGAAAATCGTCCAGCAGTTTGTCTGAGATCGATCGACAAGACTTTCCTCTCCAGTATAATCGCGTGTCTAAGGAGGATTCTTGTTTCGGCGTTCCGGCGTCGACGCTCGTAACCGGCTAATCGCAATCAAAGACGCGCGATCGCTGAACGATCGCCATGGAACAAAAAGGAAAACGAAGTATCCTGTCGAACACGCTCGCTCTTTATACGCCAATATTCCATATGCCGCGAATACTTAGGTACATAGCGTGAGAAAATTTTGATGGAAACATCGAATGGCAGCGAATGCGAGGTATAAACTCCTTCCTGGCCTAGTTTTCGAGGGCTACGTTTGCTCGCATTCACTCTCCCTCGACCTCTTGCCCCTCTGAAACAAGGATACACGACTTTTAATATATTCCGGCTGAAACGTAAAGCCGGCCTTTAATTGCCCACCGTTGTACAAAGTGTCGTTTCCACGGTCATCGAAGAACGCGCGTTCGCGGCCGCTTAACGATGTTGGATGCTCTTGCGGCCGGCATCGCTTGCGTTTTCCCTCACGGCGGAGGAGAAAAGCGGCATTCTTTCGGGCACGGTAGGTTCACTACGCGCGGTATCTCTCGGTGGCGATCGCTAGCAGGAGGCCATCCTTTGTTCCGCGACCGGTTGACCGCGGCCGATTAAGCCGAGAGTTCAACGCGGGAGGACGTTCGACTCGGTGGACGTTTCGCGTCTCGAGGCCGACGCGTATGCGGCAACGAGTCTTCTTCATCTTCATCTTTTCAATCTTCGTCCGTAGCGCGCTGCGCCACGGTTTAAGTCGGCTTAACGCGGATTCCTCGTGTCCACGATCGTGCGCGTACCGAGAGGCGAACAGCGAACGAAGGAACGCGAACGCGGAGAGTTGATCGAGCCGGATAAAGGGACCAATTCGAGACGCGGATCGAAGCGATCGTAGGAGAAGGAGAAGAGGGTGGCGATTGAGAGAAGATGGACGAAAAGAGCATAGCCTGAAGGAGGAGAGTAGCGGGGGATGGGAGAGGGCCGATTTAATACTCGAACGAGCCAGCAGCTCGTTTTACACCAGATGGTTTTACATACGGCCGCTATCGTGTTACCGAGCTTCTCCGTATGGCTGCGTTGGCCGCGCGTTCACCGTTTCGTCGGAGTGCCCTAATACGCGCGGACGCGCGAACACGAGCGAAATCTTGGATGCCGCGCGGCGATCGACGATTCCCCTTTGGAGAACGGGGCTCGATCGCGCGCTCCTTTGGAGCACCAGCAACGAACGACCAAGCGGATTTTCGAGAAGGAACGTAGGCAAGAGTCCTAAACTTTGTTAAGTCCACCGTGAACGCACGAGTAGTCTTCCCTGATGAAAAAGAAAGAAAGTAATGGCGGGAGAGAGAGAGAGAGAGAGAGAGAGAGAGAGAGAGAGAGAGATATGACTCACGGTTTCGTTCGGTCGGTAAGTTACACG